GACAGAAACATAAATACAACGAATAAGTGAAAAAGGATTATCATCAAATCACTAAGAGAGAGGATCAACATGGAGATATAGCGTATGGAACATAGGGTCCATTTTCCATATAGTGTGGAATTTCAGAATTCACACCTTCCAAGAAGAGAGACATCCGATTCTTCCAGAAACTGAAGTTGTCTCTAATGAATCGGGGAGGTTTGGCAAGAGAGTCATTGTCGTGAAAGTTGGTGCTGGTGTTTTGTAAAGCTATTTGAAAAGCAGTAAATTATCTAAAGATAAAGAAGAAATAATAAAATGTAGATAAACAACAAAACAAGACGAAAAGCAAGGCATGCTCTGATACCACTTGTTGGTCCCAGCCGGATCTACAAGAGTTTAGAGGTGATCCGTTTGTAGAGGGGGGTGAATACGAACGCAATAACTTTCACTTTTATAAATATATATCGATAAAGAAAAATCAATACATATTTTTACAAATTGTTTATAGAATAGACAAGGTAAAGAAAAACTTATCAAAAACAATCTAGAGATACACACATATACACTTAGCAAATATATGAGATTTGCCGAAAGAGATCAGATAGAACTGTGTTCTTCTTGGGTGTGTGTATTACAATTTGGGAGAAATTCTAATTTGCTTGTATCGCAATTGTGCATGAGTGAAGAGAGCATTCAACTATTTATACCCATTGCATTAAATGCAATTCATAAGAGTCAGAACATGCACCAAGCTTTTAGAGGAAAGTTTGTCCTTTGTTACAGTGAATAGTACTTTTGTCTATTCATGAGCATACATCCTTTCATGGAGTTGGTGGACACTAAAATCGACTAGCCGGCTCTGTGCTATACTATACTCGAGAGAGGGTATGGGTTAGTCCTTTATTTGTGGAAGGACAAGACAAAAACAATCGTGCAGGACAAGCTTCATTTGATCGCTGAATGCTGGAATGACGTTGGAGGTCTCTTCAGCATTCACTGAGGCTTGTGCAGTTTTCACACATATGTTGACCATTTTGTAATCACTAAATACCGCTTCAGATCATGAATGCACTAGTCACAAATCTTCAGTTTCAGTCTTCGACATTTGCTGAAGGTTCTTGGGTGTGAGTTGTGTCTTCTTGAAGTAAAACTGTCGCTGTATAATTACAATACATGTTTCAGCGATCATTGAACAAACTTAGTGAAGATCGTTGGAACTGAATAGACAGAAGCATAATACTTCGATGGGTAAAAGGGATTATCATCAAATCAATGAGAGAAAGGACCAACACCCTTGGAGGCGGTAAGACGGTCATACGTTCTTTGGGCAACACATATTCAGCTTATGGTGGAAGAGGATTTACTTCCTCCTTGTATGTTTCCCCATAAGAATCAGAGTTGAACCAGTCTGAACAAAACTGGCTGCAGTCTTGAATATCTAAACTTCGAGCAACCGATATTACATGATCGCAAGGTATACCAGAAGTTTCCATTGCATGCATGTACAAGTCTTAGCATGTAAATCGCACTTTCCTTTCTTATATATGTTATTAAATTCAAACAACAACTCGGTAATGGGAAATACCCTCCATGTTTCACTCCTATTGATTATCTTTTTCTATTTTTGCCTCCGCTCAAGGAGTGACTGCATTTATTATTTGTGCTGCAAAAAAAATGATAATATTAGCCTATGTCGTATAATTTAAAATATAATTTTGAATATAATTTACCTCCATTATGTCGATGTATAAAATACCATTGTAACAATGTCGCTCAATAAAATTCAACTATCGGTAGGTAACGTGCAACTGAGTTAAGGAGTTGACGGACTTGGCACTATTGGAAGTCATTGCACTATACCATAATTCAGGGAAGTGCGATCTTGCCTATCTAGCATAACCAACTTTCTCAAGATATTGAGCGGCCTTAGGTAGGCTATGTCACATCAAATCCATTATAACTTCAATGCCTGACACCCTATAAGATTTGCATGCCTCCTAGAACATCCATCTTTTTATTTTGTCTCTATTCGAGATTAGGCACAAGTTCTCGCTCAAATGCCGACAAAAAAGTTTGTGATGAGCGTTGGGGAATATCGTTCTAATGGCCAACTCAATAGAAGCAGCCCTATCAGTTACGAAGGTTAAATTGGGCACTTCACTGATACATTGCCTCAGCTTATATAAAAATGATGTCCATGGTTGTTTCCATTCCTACCAACCGCTAAGAACATGGTGCCCAGATATGACCCTTCAAATGGGCACCATCCATTATAAAGAGCGGTCAGGTGTCCTAGAAATGAGCGGATTGGCAGATGAACGAGGTTACAAATATAAACTTCAAAATAAAATTATTAATTTAAACAATATAATGAAAATTATTACTAAACAACCAAGTGCGACAAACAACATGTCAAATCGTCCTAATGCATCAAGGGTGATCTCAGTCACAGTCCCTAAATTCATCATTTTCAGATTGTGACGATAAACCAGGAGTAGGTTAAACAACGATTCAGGGATCCCTTCAACAGTTGTAAGGCATACATCTTTGCTCGCCATGCTTGGTTGTAGGAGATGCTAATATTGAACCGTTGGTTCACATCTTCCATGATCTCTTTTCCATGTAGACTCTCTAACAGTCTTTCAAAGTCGCTGCCAATATATGACCCAAAACCTTTTTATTTGCATTACGGTGGTTTAACTGGACATGGGACCTTGAATAAATGTGTTCATCATGCAATTTTCGAACCTGAAAAATGCTGGTCCCAAGAAACCGCCATTAAACGCCAATCATAGTCTAAGGAGTGACACACTGCCTCATAGCGGTATTTAGATGATTTTTTAACTTTTGTGTGGAAGTTTTCATAAACGCATTTTAATCCCAATTTCAGCTTCAATGCTTCATTCGAGTCAAAGATTTGTAGAACTTTTAAATGTGATGTAGGCTAATAGGAAAGGTTTCTTCTAGGATTGACAATGGGGGCAGGGCAAGGTGTTGGGTTGGCATACCCCAAAAACTATTCCTTACCGGATGGATTTCTTCACCATCTGAGTTATCGTCTTCGGGTATATTCAAAATCTCTACTGCAATAGAAACTGTTGGATCGATTAACTCAGTTTCTTGGTATAGATTACTTACTTGGATGATATGTTTGACAGTGTTAACGCAGCGGAAGTAATAACAATCAAGCACAGTAGAAATCAATAAGAACACGATGAAGACGACTGAAGAACACAAGAGAGAGCTTCAAAATGATTTTCAATTCAATGAAAATGTTGACAATTACAATACTGAAGCACAATGAAATACAAGGGCCTACGCTGCTATTTATACAAGCAAATAACCGTTTTCTGACATGACCTAAAGCAAATTAATCTAAGCCGTTCGATCATAAACAGGTTACAGACAAGAACACGTGATAAGCACGAGCAACTAGTAAACCAAAGTAAAGCAGCTAAAGAAGATCTATACAGAAGACATCTTGCAGAACCTCTGTGAGACATGACAGAAGTTCTGTCATATATAACTTGAAAGCACTTCAAAGCAGAGGACCAGTTTCCAGAACCTCTGTGAGACATGACAGAGGTTCTGTCACTTGAGACTTGTTCGCTTGAGCATCTTCTGCAGTTGGTCCTCTGTGATCTTCTGTGACAGATCATCTTTTGTCAAAACTTGCAGTTTACTTTTTCCATACTTTTACATKWAATGAAATGAGAGCTAACAATCTCCTCCTAAGTATGAAAAAGTAAAAAATTACAAGATATGACTTGATTGAAATGAAATTACAAGAGGTGATTAAACATCTTCCTCTGAAAGAATTATAATGAAAAGAATTACAAAACTTGAAAGATAAAAAAAATTTGAGGTACAGGCCGGATTCTGGAACAGAAGAGAGTCACACTTCAGACTCTGGGAAGTCGTCTACTGCGTACACGAAATCGGACTTGACAGTTCTGTAGACGTTGAAGATGAACTCTCTGAAGTTGATTTGAGCTTTAATCGCGTCCAAGAGAGGAGACACTTCGCCAACCCTGTAATGTCTATTATCCACCTCTGCCAATAGACACTTGAAGATCCATTCCAGCGTCTCTGTTGAATACTTGTGAACTTCTGTGGGGATGAAGACCCTTTCTTTGAGGACTCTACAGCTATGGCCTTGCCTTTGCCTGTAGGCTCTGCAGCCTTCTTCTTTTCTCTGTCTGTAGGTTCCCCAATCTTTATGCCTTTCGCAGGTGCTCTGGCTGTCTTCTTTTTGAGCTTTGTAGCTGGGGCCTTCTTTTTCATCTCCTGCTTCTTCTCCCCCTCATGACGATCATCATCATCGGCATGATCGTCATGGTTTGGTTTGGCAGAAGCCTTGCATGTTGTAAGGGGAGCCCTCCTCAAATGGCGTAGGATTCTAGTGGCTGCCTTGTACATCTTTTCAATTACCTTATCCGCACCCGCAAAGGCGTTCATCACGTCAAGCTCTGTAGCCCACTTGAGTTTGGAGACGGTAGACAGAACTTCTGCACGAAGGAGCTCACCTTCCTTGGCAAGCTTGGTCAAGCCTTCTGCAATTTTATCGTTGGAAGAGAGAAGCTCCACTTTCAAAAAAGAAAGTTGGCTGACCACATAGTCCGCTAGCGCATCCACCATGGCGTCCAGTTCTCTGCGAGTGGCCAAGTGGTTGATGTTGGCAGTTGAGGACTTAGACTGGATGCCATAGGTGACCGCGGATGAAAACATCTCCTTGATCTCGTCACGGAAAGAGGAATAGTCTGTGTAGCCCGCTGTGACGAAGTCGCCTGCAAACTTTGCCGCCATTTCTGAAAGTTCTTTCTTTAAAGTTTGTACAGAGGAGGGGTTTAGGGACATAGCTTGGAAGGCCTCTGACAGGTCGTCCTTCTTGATGGCCGAGCTCTGAAGGGTC